ATGTTCAATTCCCTCTCTCTGAAAACCCACGTAGAATCCACAAGTTTTTCCAGTTCCGTTTCCTCTGCCATGGATGCTAAAATTTGCGTCATTGTGTTGCTTGTCAAACCACAATCTCCGTAGAATATTTTTTACCATGATATTGGTACCTAACAGAGTTTTCATGTGTCTCAATAACTGAGAAAGAGTCCGGTTACCTATCCCCACTCGGGTAAATAAGTCGTGTAACATTGTCTTGTTTGAAATTCCTGTTCTTTTAATTATGGCTGTTTTCAACTTATCGTAGGGATTTTCTTCGTGCATTCTCTCGATTAATTCCTCTTCTACGACTTCTGCTTATAGATTTTTCGAGTAAGTCCTCTTCTACGACTTCTGCTAAATAGCAGTACCGGGCTATTTGCGAAACAATTTTCTTCGCGTTGAATATGGCCGGCATTTGTATAAACCATGACTGTATGTTGTTGGCGTTATATGCAGGTAAATTCAGATTGACTGCTGTCAACGAAATTTCTGTACAATTTTGGTTTTGTTGCATTTTTTAAGGTACGTATATCTGTGTTTTCTGTTTGCCAACTTTGGTTTTTTCACAACGTCTTAATCAGCATTTGTAGGAAACGTTCTACTCGGGTTTTTTTATTAAGTGACAAAATTCCTAGTATCGGGATTCGATACAATAACATAAAATATTTTGTGGAATTACTCGTAATTCGACGGTTTAGAATAATCCCACCATTTTCATTGAAATAATTAAATCCAGAAAAAAACGTAGTATCAGCAAATAAACATTAATTTAATATAACGACAAAAATACAAGAAATTGGTTATAGATTTGAAAGTAATATCTTTTTGTTTTGGTGAATAAAATTTTGGAATATAATATAAATTGTATTTGTGTGCATATGTGAGAAGCAGTGAAATATTGTTATATGTGTATTTGTGTGAAAGAATCAGTACGTGTGTGCGTGCTTAGTAGTAACGGGGGATAAAAGACATAGAATTTAGTTCTTACTGTGAACTATGTCGCCATAGTTTGGAGCAGTCTCTTTGTAGTTTGTCAGCGCGGTAGGTTTTTGCGTGTGGACGTGAATGGCGTCTTGAACATAAGCAGCTAGGGTAACATGAACCTTGGTGTCATCTGTGCGTCTCATGTTTGGGGCCGAACTTGAGTTTTATACACTTTTTCGTAAGAACATCGGCTTCAGAATTATATTATTTATTTCTTATTAATTGGCCCTAAAGAGCCTCATGGTATGTCTTTTACTACGTCCGCACGATATTTTGGCAGTATCTACCTTAATCGTGATAAAATATTTTATTAAATATTTTACTGGATTAACCAAACCTCTTTTCCATGTAAATCTAGATATTCTAATATTTGCATTGTATCGAATGTTTTTGTATAATTTATGAAGTATAGATATAGATCTTTCTGTATTTGTATTGCTTGGCTTGATAGCATTCTGATCATAACAATAGCAATTCCTATTCTAGTGCCCTCAACAAAACTATTCTTGCCTATTTCAGGTTTAATTCTGCTATGTGGTTTATTCCTTAGAATTTTATTGATAATATAAGTTATTTGTCTCATAGCTTAATGAAACATCTTATCAATAAAATTCTTTGGTGGCGTTCGCATTAATTTTCTACTGGCTTCTTTGGCATCAATCTGAAGCTAGGTCTAATGAATTCTTCCAGTATTTCACCGCTGTTTTATATTTTATTCATTATTTCAGTAATCCCCAAATCGTCTTAACGGAGGCACCATTTCTAGTAGGAATTCTATCCAAGTGGCCAACATTAATAATCTTGCGACGATAATCTTTGGGGCTATTATTAAGTAACACTTAGGAATTGCTTTTTATTTTTCTGTGTGACAGCGGGTAACTGAAACTTCAGAACTATAAACCGCGGGTAAGGGTAATAATTCTGTATATTGCTTCGGACACGTGATGTTGCATCGAGTCGGTTCTCCAAGCGTACACATTCATCATCTTCTTTTAATATTTTATCTGTTTTCCTCTTGCTTAATAATTATCTGCTTTTACTGGAGATGCAGGCCAACATCGACCGTTTAATAAAAATACAAAAGTAAAGACTAGTTCAGTTTATATATGTCTGCCTAACACACACACACACACACACACACACACACGCACGCAAACATGCACGCACAAATAAAAATAAATACTTGGCACTGTTTTCCTGATACATATATAGGCGGGTTTGACCTTTAACTATTGACCAGCAAGTGTCTGATATAGGTCTATACTCACATACACTTGGTCGAATTATCCCTTACATAGGCACGTAACTACATTTTTATTTACAGAAAAGGTGCATGTAAAAGAAAAAAATAACAAAAATCTATTTGTTTTTACCATGATATTTATCGTTTTATTAATCCATAGCGAATCAGAGACAGGTAAAACTGATACCCACACCGCATCCATTGCGAAATCTTTCCATGATTCTCCAATTATTTATTTTTTTTTTATCATGACTTATTTCACTAAGATTGGACTAACATTTTCTTTTTTTCCTTCTACCTATGCTTTTTTCGTCATGTGCCGCCATTATTAATCTTATCATCCTTTAAGGAAATCACGTCAATTATCATCAGCTGTCTTCTTCTTCTTCTTCTTCTTCTTCTTCTTCTTCTTCTTCTTCTTCTTCTTCTTCTTCTTCTATGTGCCTTGTCTCTTCAGGAAGTTAGCAATCATGGCTCTCTACAATTTCTTCTCCTTTATAGTTCTTAATAAATTTCGTCTTTTTGTTATCTCTCCTATTCTTGTTCAGCCAACCATTTTCTCAAGCTTCTTCTTCTTCTTCTTCTTCTTCTTCTTCTTCTTCTTCTTCTTCTTCTTCTTCTTCTTCTATGTGCCTTGTCTCTTCAGGAAGTTAGCGATCATGGCTCTCTACAATTTCTTCTCCTTTATAGTTCTTAATAAATTTCGTCTTTTTGTTATCTCTCCTATTCTTGTTCAGCCCACCATTTACTCAAGCTTCTTCTTCTTCTTCTTCTTCTTCTTCTTCTTCTTCTTCTTCTTCTATGTGCCTTGTCTCTTCAGGAAGTTAGCAATCATGGCTCTCTACAATTTCTTCTCCTTTATAGTTCTTAATAAATTTCGTCTTTTTGTTATCTCTCCTATTCTTGTTCAGCCAACCATTTACTCAAGCTTCTTCTTCTTCTTCTTCTTCTTCTTCTTCTTCTTCTTCTTCTTCTTCTTCTTCTTCTATGTGCCTTGTCTCTTCAGGAAGTTAGCGATCATGGCTCTCTACAATTTCTTCTCCTTTATAGTTCTTAATAAATTTCGTCTTTTTTGTTATCTCTCCTATTCTTGTTCAGCCCACCATTTACTCAAGCTTCTTCTTCTTCTTCTTCTTCTTCTTCTTCTTCTTCTTCTTCTTATGTTGTTGTTGCTACTACTACTACTACTACTAATTCTTCTTCTTCTTCTTCTTCTTCTTCTTCTCTTTTTTCACCTTAATCTGCTTCTGATTTATTACCCACTTCTTCATCCACTTCATCTTCCTCCTCTTTACATTTCTCTCCCTCTTTATTTCCTTCTTCCTTTCAATTAACCTCCCCTCTTTACACTTTCCTTCCTTTCATCTCTCTCTCTCTCTCTACCCCTCCCTATATTATTCTTAACCCCCCCTTCGCTTCTCTTCATCTACTTCATCCTTATCTTTCTCTACCCCCACCCACTTGATTTTCTTCACCTCCCTTTTCAGTTTTCTCTTCCTTTCACCTTACACTTCTTCACCTTATTTTCTTTTTCTTTTTCACCTGTTTCTACCGCTTCATCCGCCTGCACCAGCTCTCTTCCTTTGACACTTTCTTTTTCTTCTCTTTCTCTTCCTCTTCTTCTCGCTTTTTCAGCTCTTTATTTCTTTCTCTTCGTCTCTCTTCCAACCTCTTTATCGACCTCTACTCTCTCTTCATCATCCTCTTCCCCGTCATCTTTCTCCCCATCATATCCACCTTTTTATCCATCGCTTTCTCCCCCCTCTTCTTTTTCTCCATCTCTTATTTTCTACTTCTATTTTCATCTAATTCTTCTTTATTTGTTCCTTATTCATTTTCCTCCATATCTGCTACAATTTCCTTTTCCGTTGCTCATATTTTTCTTCCTCTTCGCTTCCTCATCCATTTTCTTGTTGTTCTTCTTCTTCTTCTTCTTCTTTTTCTTCTTCTTCGTCTTCATTATTATCCACGTCTTCGCTTTCATCTTCCTTTTCTCTTCCACTTATACATTCTTCATCCCCCCATTCTGCCTCTTTTTCTCAATGTCCCTTTTCTTGCTATTCATCTTCAACCTTCTCTGTCTTTGTTGTCCTCTTTTCATACTCCTCTTCCCCTCTTTTAATTTTTATTCATCTCGCTGTTCCTCTTTTTCCCATTTCGCTTCATCTTTCTCTGTTGTGGAATAAAGACTACACCCCGGTAACTCTATGAACTCGTTCGATGCTATAAAGAGATCCATGGTAGGAGATCGTGAGTAGCAAAATCGCAGTTAAGCAGTTCGCTACCAGACTCGCGACAGGCTTGTCGGACACTCTGTCTTTGGGCAGAGAGGAACCCAGATGAGGCTATGCCTACGGGCAGAGTCTCTTCTGGGGTAGTAAAGCCCGACCCGAGTATGCGGGGTCTAAAGAGAATATTTGCATGAGCCGATGGGCTCGGAATAGCACCACATAAAAACCGGCCTTGTGCCACATCCCGTGATCTGGGGAGGTTGGAGTAAATGTTAGTCAAATCGCAGTTAGTCCCAGGCTCGCAACATGACCTTCTTCTTCGGGCAGAGCGTGACAAGACCTCTGTCTACGGACGGAGGGCGAATCAGTCGGGATTCTGTCCTCAGATAGAGATTCGGCTGAGAAAAAACAGACAAGTTGGAGTCAGACAGTTCTCTGTCTGGCTTACGACTGACAAGACCTCACTTCGGGCAGAGGGTAACTCAATCGGGTCTCTGTCTTCGGATAGAGACTCGGCTGAAGAAAACAGACCAGTACTGTACCTGAGTCCTCTTTTGCGTAGGCTGGGTAAATTTTGACCACTGGACCGGGTTGAAACTCTCGTCGTCCCCACATAAAACTTGACCTTGTATCGCATCTAGTCCGCAGTGGGGCGACCGGTATATGTCATTCGTATTGGTGTCAGTCTTCGTACGAACTATACAGGCGTTACAGCAATAGCCTAAGCATTACGTATAGAGAATACTTTAACGAATTACGTTATATCAAGTACGAGTGTGTGCTATAACAATAAACTTACAATAGAAATAGCCTCCATTTTTTCTCTTCTCACTCTTCCTAGTTTTCATTTTCCATCTCTTCTTCCTCCTCATTATCCACTTCCCACTGTTTATCATCAATATCCATTTTAATCCCTCATCTTTATTCCTCGCATACTGACTGCATCTTTTATCCAAATATCCCACGGGGAAGACAGGCACTTATACTTACAAGTACAATAGGACAGTTTAAATTTCTGGGTCGCATAATGGGCCTGGACAATTTGATACCCACAGAGCATATTGAAGGCAAAAAGAGACAGGTGGAGACAACAGGCCAGTTTCCTGAAGAGCTTATGTGAATGAATGCAAAACCGAGATTAGAATAATCGTTAAAAAATAAACATTACTAGGCGCTTCAAGGGATAGGAGATTGTGGAGAGCCATGAACGGCCACGTCTTGAAGGAACTCGGGGCACAGAAGAAATCAAAATATCTGTGTAATACCCACCATCATCATCAGCAGCAGTGTCAAAATACACGATCGTAATTGTCTATGTCAGGAAACTACACGAACTCCCACAGAAGCTAGTGAAGGAAAGCGAGAAGAAAGGACGAAATATCAATTGTAAGAAGAGGGATGCATGGTTGTCAGTAAAAGGACCAGCCCAAGAGGGAAACTGAAATAGGAAACACTAAAACCAAGCAAGCATATATATATATATATATATATATATATATATGTGTGTGTGTGTGTGTGTGTGTGTGTGTGCTGGTATATAGAAAAATAGGAAAGAACACATTAGGTAAGTAGTCCAGGGTTCTTTAGTATTTTTGTTTTAATTTTTAAAAAACATTGCCCCATACAGAAGTAGAGCTTAGATTATAATTATTTTAAAAAAAAATGATTTCTTCGCTACATAAGATTTCTCATGTTTCAAAAACGAGAGCCGAAACCATCAATATAATTATTAAAATTAAATTGAATTAAGGTAACAAGACCTGTTTCATGCTCAAGCGAAAATTCCTAAATTTTCGCTTAAATTTCCGCTTGAGCATGAACCAGGGCTTGTTACCTAAATTCAATTTAATTTTAATAATTATATTGATGGTTTCGGCTCTCGATTTTGAAACACGAGAACTCTTATGTAGCGAAGAAATCATATTTCTAAAAAATAATTATATATATATATATATATATATATATATATATATATATATATATATCGTCATCGTGGCAGAGGGCTTGAGCGTGATGGCGTTGCTCAAATTGTTGAAAAGGCTAGATAACATGCTTTTTCACCCCAGAAACTATAATTAAGGTCTGCGCAGCATAGTTGTAGTATAAACCACAGGTGGGCTCCATGGGTGTTGACTAAACATAAATGCGCCTAGGCAAGCGTCTGCAATAGGTATTGGCTATCCACTCTAGTTGAGAGGTATCCTCGAATACAAGTTGCCAGCTACACACACACTCAGAAACACACACACATATATATATTAACAGATGAGGAAAAATGTGACACCGAAATTCGAAGTCAATGATCCAACGGGTGCATGCGTGTGTAGAAGCAAGTGAAGGACATTTTGAACATTTGTTATTGGCCTTTTAGTCATATATTTACATTGACATTTGACCTTGTTTTGGTGTCAGGAATCCGTCCCCAGAGTTTGTAAAAGTATTTTGGGATTGTATCTTAGATTGTACATTCAACAGCGTCTACCGTAATCTTTAAACTTGATAACTCGAAAACGAAGGATTTGCGAACTTATGTTTACATGGACTTTTGTCCTCGTTTTGGTGTCAGGTATAGGCCCCCAAATTTTGTATTCTTCATACACCCTCTCTATATAATATTAAACTTTCGAAAAGTTGCTCACGTAATAAATATTCTGCTAGAAAACTTACAAATTTATTGACTTTTTTGTGAGTAGAAACATTTAATTGTTGCCCATCACCTCACAGAAAAATTTGTAACCGCCCACTTTTCTAAGATTGTGAAGGTCGTTCACAGGACTAAGCATGAAGGAAAATTACGATTTTGACGAGTACATTTTGTGACAATTGTGTTGTATTTTTAATAGCATCATATTAGAATCCTGCTTTCGACTCCGTTAGTTAGTGAATTGGTTACCACGTGCTGCCATTACTTCAGGTAAATAATGGACCATTGTGTTTTGATTGCCGGAAAAGATGTAAGAAAAAGTTTAGCAGAAATGCTGTTTGGTTTTAATGTGAAAAAGAAAGCATACATCAAAGAAAGAAAGAAAGAAAGAAAGAAAGAAAGAAAGAAAAAGAAAGAAAGAAAGAAAGAAAACTTTGAAGAAGTGATAATACTCTCATGCGTTTAATGTCTGCTTCTGGAAAACTTTGTCTATTTTGAATCATTTCTCATGTACCCTCTTACTTCTTTAATAATGCTCTGCATTCGTACTTATGATTATTACTGCACTGTTTTGTTAATTACACTCAAATATTCAACTATGTAATAACGGAATATTCACAGATATTTTATATTTGAGAATCTAGATAAGAGTTTACTCCCTCATTAAATTAAGAATTAGGATTCATCAGAAATTCAAATAGAAAAAAGTGTGAAATTTTCACGGGTAATACTAGTTTTAACTATTACAAGAATTTTCAAATCCTCATGCCAACGTGAAATATTGATGCGACAAATTTTTGCCAAGTTTCTTGTTTGTGTAAATGATTTACATCACCGATTTGAGTTTTTAAAAGAAAGGTAAAAATTAATTCATCGTGTCTGAAAGACAAATGAGCCATTTATCTTCAGCTACGCCAGCACATTCATTGTATAAAACAGAGTCGGGTTCAAAAAGCAGCTTTTTACTTTTGATTGGGAAAGAGTAAAGTCCAGTTTCGAGACGTCACTTCTGGCTATTCTTTTAAGTTTTTTCTACATTCACAGAACCTACTGCAGTTAAACATTTCGTTTGAAATTTCTTATTCAACAAAGAACAAAACAAATATTCTATTAGTCACGCTCATTAATAACTCGGAACTTAGCATACTTCTCCATGCTTCAAACAAAGAACTTATTCTTCTTACTAAAAAACTTATTGAAATATTTTTAGAGTAATACTTTCAAAGAGAATATTTTACTCAATGCTTATATTGTGTATTTTGCAGTTTGCTCTTGTATTATTTTTACTAGGTCTTAAGAGACTGCTTTTTTATAAAAAATACTTTCATTATGTTTAATAAAAGTTATTGTTGAATTAAGAGTATTTTTCGTATTGTTTCTGATAAAAACTTAATTTTCAAGTTGCAGTCATTGAAAGCGGAACAATATAGTGATTTACTATGCGTAACATATATTTTGGAATATTGAGCAATTATTGAACAGTAACTAAATATCGAAATAATTACTCGTAATTTATCTAGAGAGACAAGCTTATTAACTATTATACCGCGTTGATGTGCCCAAGTTAAAATTATATATACTCCATTCATTAAGCTCCATATTTAATATACTTCTTAGTTCTATTTATTTTGGAGTTCAGTTTAGATCAGGCCTGTACAAATGGCGGCCTGCCGAACGATCCAGTTTGAACCGTGATGAGTTTTTAAAATAGTAAAAAAAAAATGTGTTCATCAAAATAAATTCGGCGATCGTGCACAAAAAAAATCAGTTTTGTGGAAGGCCGAATTTATTCAACCAATTTTGCATCAAATGAACCCTTTTGACTCTTCGTAGACAAAGAAGAAGAACGTATTTTCTCACCATCGCCTACTCTCTATATATATGTCTGTTTCCAATTCACTCATATTCAGTAATTTCCTATAAAAATTTACTCTTGTAGCCCTCGGCTGATTTTCTTTGATCAGTGTGGCCCCTTCGCATTTTTTTTAATTGCGTAGGCCCAGTTTAGATAATGTCACAAGTGAAAAGAGATACTTAAATGTTCCCGACCCGTCTAAGAACGTACTTCCACCTTCAACCCAAACGAATCTGATGCGCTGATATATTTTTGATTTTGATTTCGGGCCGAAAACGTTTCAAAAAGTTTCGTCCAACTGTCCCGAAATACACATCAAATTTATGAAACAATTATTTTTTTTTTAATTTAAGAAAATCACTTTTGTTTAGAAAAGAGGGTGCTAAGAGATATAATTTATCACCTAATAACAAACGAAAGCTAGCAAATATTTCTGTTGCTGTTTTTTTTTTTTTTTTTTTTCTTTTTGGTTTATAAGGTAATAAATTATATCACTCACCTTCCTTCGTAGTTTAACTTTCATTGGCTTTAAGAATATTTTAGAATTTTCTTAAATTGAAAATGGGAACACATAACGATTTTACTTCCGCTTATAAGTACAAGGTACGAAATAATATCTCTACATTTATCCTGATAAAGTCCCTCACAAAGGGGAATAGCCATTTTTTTAATGGATTAAAGAGGACACTTAAGAAGCCTTGACACCAAACTACTGAATTATATGCGCTACTAATACTTTACTGTAGACTTCGATTTCAATATTAATGTTATGATCCCTATTATCATCGGCATATTCTCATTTATGCTAATGCTGCACACGCTAGTCTGGCTTAAGATGGAGAAATGAGTTCGATCCTTATTAAGCTCGAGTTAAGATATTAAGTCTCTTTCTAAAATTTATAAAAGTGCGCGTAGTATTATAAATAATGGTGCTTTCAGTTGAGCAATGGTTAGTGTACTATTCTTGTGAGTGTGCTTGGTAATTAGATCCTCACAGTGTGCTCAATATTTGTGGCCATGTGCCAAACTAAGCTCAGTTTAAGTGAAGGACAGCTACAACAAACGTCTTTCGTTACTCCCTCATTCATAATAATTATCTTATTGTAGTTGTCGATACAGTCATTGTGGTCTTCGCGTGAAAATCCTGTCGTGCTGACAGGCTGGCATCTCAGTCTCACCCTTTCACTGTTAAAACGATTAAATGTAATCGTTTCTTCTTAAACCGCTTCTTCTCCGGCACTTCCCGCCTGTGGAACTCCCTTCCCCTTACTTGCTTCCTCGATGATTATAATCTTCAAATATTTAAGTGTAATATCAATCGACATCTGAAACCCTGAGTTTGTTCCCCGTCCTCCTCTGTGTCCTTACCTCAAACTCGCTTCATTGTTCTTGTTCTCAATACTCTATAATCCTTTGCGTGCGAGTGACACTGCCGCTTTGCTAGGGATGAATTGCCTTAAAAAAATCGTAACAGTTTAACATAGTAATATTAATCATTTTTATGAAGAAATCTTTATTTTATTAATGTTAGTGTTTCTATCGTCACAATTAACAGATTTAAAAAAATCATCTTCCGCCATATTCTTTTTGATTAACATGCTTCTTCCACATAACGTGTAACTATTTATTTTTCAGATCAGTCATGGCCAACCTTTTTATGTTACGAAATGGTTCAGGTTTGATTGTAATTTAATTTATTTCAATGCCCGCTCATTGATTGTTACTAAACTTACAACGCAGATACTAAGAATACCTTTTTCTGCACCTGGGTCAAAATTCAATGCAAGACATTGTCTTTAATTATCATTGCAAAATAACGGATTTGCCAAGACAAAAAGCGGCGATATCTTTTAATTTACATGCCACTGTAGAGACAATAAACACCCGATTTCATTAACTTTGAGATAGTCTCTCTTTCATTGGCTAATAAATAAAAGCTTCTATTTCGGGGAAAATATAATGATCGTCAGTTATAATATCATAACACGATTGTCTAAAGAGACAGAGCGCGTGAATTCAGACAGTCTGATTAAAATTAGGATTTATGATGCAACGCGTGTTTACATAGTTGTTCTTGCCTTGTGGCTAAGATAAGTCTGTATTTCAATCAGCAGTCGATTCCAGATTAAAAAAAAAATCAGATTTTTAACTATCTAGTTAGGAATATACTCCTTAATCGGATGTCTGGCGGAAAACAGACTTTGTCGCAATTTTTAGCCTTTTGTAGCGATAATTATCAAGAAGAAATATTGGCTTACCTCGTTCCTGAACGAGTTGTGTATTCACACTTAGAACAAGGTATGAGAAATCGAGTTCCGGTGAACAGTCAGAACTTTAAATGCAATTCAGATCTTCCTGGTTGAATAATGCAGGCGACACAATTGTCAGAAGGGATTATTAAAGGTCAGGAATTACCGTAAGAAATACTTAAAAAAAAAAAAACAGAATATATTTATATATATATATATATATATATATATATATATATATATATATATTTCATACACATCACACACACACGTACACAAACATACATATATATATATATATATATATATATATATATATATATATATATATATATATAAATAAAAGGCGTAAACACTAATATTCCATGGTCATAATTTATTCCATTGGAATCGCAAATACGATCAATTCATCAGACCTACAAATTCAAAAAAAAGAAAACAGAAAAAACAACTCCGGAAATAAAAATAGAATTTAGAGAGAGTGTAAGTATGAGATAGTCGGACGAATGTTAGAGCTAAAGAGAGGAGTAACAGACTAGAGAAGGTGGGAGAGGAAAACTTAACAGAGAGAAGTTTTAGAGAGGTGAGTTGAAGACGGTTTAAGCGAGAGAAATATGAATGTTGTCGGATGTCTAATACATTAAAAATGTAACCGGAAAGGATACATTTCGTGGTGACATACACACACAACATCTTTAACAAGATCTTTTTTTCACCTAAACGCCGGGTAATAATTTTTTCTGTCGTTTTCACTATATTTATTATTACATATTGCCTAACACACCCACTAATGTAACGCTTCTGTTTCCTAGAGTGGCTAATGTTCTGGACTCCAAGAAGAAACAGGAAATTTCTCAGGGATCACAGAAATTGTTCTCATATGTTGAAGAATAACATTCACATTTTGTGTGAACAGTAAGTGAGATAACTGAGAATCGAAATGAATTTTGTTACTTTCTCGTAGATTTCTTATATTTCCCGATTCTGATAAGTTAAAAATATTTAACTGATGAGAAGTATATATTTGTGAAATCAAAAAGCGAAAAATTAAATCTGGCAGCGAAAAGGACGGTGATTAAAGTGCTAGGAACGAGTTGGGGTGTGGGTTAGGTGCAATCAAGAGAGAAGATTGCGCCAAGATTTTACCAGTCTCAATTACCTGAGGGTAAGCAACCGGAAGAGAGCGAGTTGGCCAAGGTGTATGCCGATGCCAATCCATTGATAAAGCGAGCAAGACTCAGTCGATATATCCGCTTCACTTGAGTTGTATTTTCCAATGGAGTTCGCCGGAATCTCCTTTGTTTGGCGACAAGCCGACCTACCAACCCAAGCGTGTACTTGAACGAAAGGTGATAACGAGCAGAAAAGGTGGACGTGTGGATTCTACCCAATGGGTATAGGGTTAACCAAATTGCTAGATAGTATGATCGCTGGCCTATTATAGCAACACGAAGTCAATTCTTTAGTAAGAACCCTTTAGATTAAAGAAAACAGAATTATGGCCATCAGTAAAAGGACGAGTCCGACATGCAATTTGCAGGTCGGGGACACTAGACTCAAGCGGATGCGGATGTTTAAATATCCGCGAAGTGTTTTGACAGAGGACGGAAAGTGCGACACTGAGATCCATAGACATATTAGGATGGTCAAAGACACAATCCAAAAGCTGGGCAGAGTATTGCGAGACAGGAGGATTTCTTTGGTAACAAAGAAAAGAATACTGAGCTGTTATGTGACATCTGTCCTTTTTTACGGCAGCGAATGTTGGATGATTTCCTCAAGATGAAGAAGAGACTCGAGGAGACGGAGATGTGGTTCTACAGAAGGATGCTAAGGATATCATGGACCGAGCGTGTGAGCAAGGAATGGGTCTTAGAAAGGATGCAAGCAAGGACGCTTATATTTAACATCAGGAAGAGGCAGATGAAGTGTCTGAGAGACATAATGAGGAAGGAGGGCCTGGAAAATCTGATATTCACAGGTCGAATAGAGGGAAAGAGAGACAAAGGAAAACAACGCATGACATACCTAGCAAGTGGATGACAGAATAAAGGGAGGTGCAGAGCCAGGGACGCCTACGTCCTGAAAGGACATGACACATAAAAAGAAGGTTAAAGACGAATATTTTCTTCGAATGGGTGCTGAAAGGAAGTAATTACAAAATAAATTTTGTAGTTCGGTTGTTTGACCAAATTTCTGCATGTTGATCGGACTTCCGTAAAGAAAATAACAGTATTCCTTTTTATCTATGCCACTCCGCTCCATTTATATTAGGCGTGTGCAAAAATTCACAGCGTCACCTTTTGTGAAAGCGGTAGTTTTAATTTAAAAATGGCTAATCTTTTCAGTCGCCTAATCTCTCTCTCTCTCTCTCTCTCTCTCTCTCTCTCTATCTGTCTATCTATCTATCTATCTATCTATCTATCTATCTATCTATCTAGTATATTATTATCTATTTATCTCTGCATATTCATTTTCTATCTATCTATCTATCTATCTATCTATCTATCTATCTATCTATCTATCTCAGTATATTATTTCATTTATCTCAAATTCATTTTATCTTTCTATCTATCTATCTCAGTATATTCATTATCTATTTATCTCTGAAAATTCATTTTCTATCTATCTATCTATCTATCTATCTATCTATCTATCTATCTATCTCAGTATATTCATTATCTATTTATCTCTGCAAATTCATTTTCTATCTATCTATCTATCTATCTCAGTATATTCATTATCTATTTATCTCTCATATTCTATCTATCTATCTATCTATCTATCTCAGTATATTCATTATCTATTTATCTCTGCATATTCATCTATCTATCTATCTATCTATCTATCTATCTATCTATCTCAGTATATTCATTATCTATTTATCTCTGCATATTCATTTTCTATCTATCTATCTATATATCTATCTATCTATCTATCTATCTATCTATCTATCTATCTCAGTATATTCATTATCTATTTATCTCTGCATATTCATTTTCTATCTATCTATCTATCTATCTCTATTATCTATTTATCTCTCATATTCTATCTATATCTATCTATCTATCTATCTCAGTATATTCATTATCTATTTATCTCTGCATATTCATTTTCTATCTATCTATCTATCTATCTATATATTCATCTATTTATCTTTTGCATATTCAGTATATTCATTATCTATCTATTCATCTATCTATCTCAGTATATTCATTATCTTTTATCTCTATCTATCTATCTATCTATCTATCTATCTATCTCAGTATATTCATTATCTATTTATCTCTCATATTCATTATCTATCTATCTATCTATCTATCTATCTATCTATCAGTATATTCATTATCTATTTATCTCTGCATATCTATCTATCTATATCTATCTATCTATCTATCTATCTATCTATCTCAGTATATTCATTATCTATTTATCTCTGCATATTCATTTTCTATCTATCTATCTATCTATATATTCTTATCTATTTATCTCTGCATATTCATTTTCATATTCATCTATCTATCTATCTATCTATCTATCTGTCTCTGCATATTCATTTTCTATCTATCTATCTATCTCAGTATATTCATTATCTATTTATCTCTGCATATTTATTTTCTGTCTATCTATCTATCTATCTATCTCTAATTATCTGGTAAAGAAATTGAAGTAAAAGTTTGAAAGACTTATCTTGCGATCTGAGTGTTGAGGCAAGTGAAATCATTTAAACTTATTGAAATATATTTAGTTTAAAATACATTACATAAAAAAAACGTTTATTTTTAACGTCAACTGAGTTTTGAATTTGTTCAAGCATGTTATTACATAACAGAATCCAGCAGACCCCGAGTTATGCAATGATAGCCCGGCAAATAAAAGAGATTTGAATAGTATTGAGTTTACGCCAAGACTATTGATAATGTCTTTGCACAATGGATGTTACGTGGTCATTTAGTCTCTCGTGATACTGGATAGGTCAGCGGTCTAAATCAGATTAGCAACTGACACTGATCATTGGTAGAGCGAGATTCATGCTTTTTCTAAGGCCATTAGTGCAAAATATGCACAAATTACAGAAGACAGAATTTGAACTTTGCTTTAACGATTAAATGTTGAACGATCTTCATACAGATGAAGAAGAGACAGAAAATGTGGTTCTACAGAAGGATGCTGAGAATACTATTGACTTAACATGTGAGCAACAACGAAGGTTTAAGTAAAATGGGAACAAAAACGACATGTATTCGTAATATAAGAAAGTAACAGTTGAAATTTTAGGCCACAAAATGAGAAAAGAGTGCTTGGCGAATTTGACACTTACAAAGCCTGGCGAAGGCAATAGGGACAGACGAAAGCAATGCATAACCTACCTAACAAGGTTGTGTAAATCGTCGGCAGAAAGCTGTTTAGAAGTTATTGTAAAAAGACAAACTTTACAAAGATTACAAAAGACAGAAATAAGTAGTGAGCCATGATCGTCAACATGCTGAAGGGATATGACGCATAAAGGAAGAATATAGTCATTATATAAGATATGATTCTGAGAATTTCGGAAAAAATGCTATTTACTCATTTTAATTAGATTTTAGAATCACTCTCGGATACACAGTTGTTAGAGAAATCATTTTACAGTAGAAAGACACAAGGGGTTACTGAGTACTAGAGGATATAAGCAAAAGAAAACATTATTAAGGAGAGAGAATAATAAAAGAACAAGAATGAAGAAAACAGAAGATAACGACTGACATTCCATTTAAGTTTTGAAGATCAAAGTTGTCTGTAAAGCAGGAAGCCAGAAAAGCGTAAAGTGATTATCGAATAATATCAGAAAAAAAGAGGTAAAAAAATTGATAAATAAATACAAAAGTGCTAAACCCTCTTCAAAACAACAATCAAAGTCCAAACATAGATATGGACAGTAACTAAAGGGATTATATATATATATATATATATATATATATATATATATATATATATATATATATATATATATATATATATATATATAATGATGGCTAGGACTCTCAAATCAAAGTTTTAATCCGACTATTGTGAAAGGCTCTCTGCTAAAAAAAACAAGGCACTAGTCGGATTATTTATCAGATGCTCTGCAATCGCAGAACCGGATGCATTAATAAGCGTTTTACAATTTTCATACTATCCGTGATAGAACTTAGCTAGTACGTGCTGATTAGTTTTTTTTTCTTAATCTTTGTCACCTCGAGCAAGGCAGCACATCCATTAGCTGGCAAGAGGCTACAGGGTGTGGGAGAATTAGGAACAAAAACATGAGTAAAGAGGAGAAAGAGAAAAGAGCAATCAGGAAAACAGTAGATAGCAAGTGACATTGCATTTAAATTTTTGCAGATTAAAGTTGTCTGGAAAGCATAAAGCCGGGAGATAATTCCACAGGCAAGAAGTGCGAGAGAAGAAACTCTTAGTATAGAACTTACGTTTAAATCTAGCTGTTTTAAGCGTAAAATGATGAGACCGTGCCGCCAATCTAGTACTGAGCTTAAATTCATAAAGTCTAGGTACCAAAGACTCATCATCAATTACCATAAAAATACTTATAAAAAAAGACACGGTGGGAAAGTAAGTGTTATGGTGCAGGTTAGGACCAAGGAAGAACAACACGAACACAAGAGTAGAAATAAAGAAGGTATATTACACGAAATAATAATACAAGATGTGGAAGGTGTTAGTATGACTGTCAGTCTGGTTTGGAGTGAGCTACAATCGGCTCGACTCGATTCGATATTTACTTGTCCCCCCACGAGGGAAAGATGTGGTACAAGGCCGAGTTTTACGTGGGTTTTCCGAGCCCGTAGGCTCGGCCAAGAAATGCCCGTAAAAACTGTAAAAATAGAATCGGGTTGGTCAACCTCCCCGAACGAGGCTCTACCCTTCGGCGGAGTCTCGTCCGGGTTCCTCTCTGCTCAGAGGCAGAGAGTTCGACCGTCAGGCCGAAACGGCTTGACTCGATTCGACCCCCTCTCTTTAGAGGTGTAGTATACATATGTGACGTCGTCCCCCGGTCGCCTCGCCGACTGTGACGTTCTATCCTGATCTACTACGGCACCAGTTGTGACGTCCCCAAACAGCACCAATTGTGACGTCAGTCGTGTTGTCTCGTCCTGTGTCGCGACTCCATCCCTTCCATCCACATCCACCGCAGTCAGCCAGCAGGTTTTTGGATGAGCCTGTGTCGTTATCTGTCGACACCGAATGCTTCTATTCTGCACAGCCTTCTTTGTTCTACTGAGATTTGGGGTTCTTCACCCTTCTTGATCTCATCTTCCGAGGTGGTCCCTGCTCAACCTCTAACCTTCCCTCTGTGTTTAATTCCTGTCCAGGAGGTGTTTTGTCCTCTTCTTCATCCCCTGATTCTTCCTTCTGTTTAGAGTCCTCGCCCTGGACGTCTTTAATACCTCTTGACTCTATGTCTAGATATCTCCTGTTCCTTAGCTTTTCCTTGAGCTGGGAAAGGGGTATTTGATCCTCTTCCTCCCACTCGCTGGGCCCTTCGTCCTGTTCAGGGTGCCTCTTTTTAGAGCCCTCGACTGCTTGATTGGATCTCCTCGTCTTTCTCTTCCTTTTCTTTGGACATGGGGGTGCGGTGGCGACCTCACAGGGTCTACTCTGCACCGATTCAGTCGACAACTGAACATCGCTGATCCCCACCGAAGGTTCCAACTCCGTCACTCGGATCGCTTCGTCTATCTGGCCAAGTCGATCTATCTCCTCATTTTCTTCGGAATCTTCCTCCGTCTCCATTTCTTCCGGCTCAACCAGAGTCACCTTCCTTGTCCTTGTCTTCTTAGGCCTCGGCTCGTTCATTTCCAAGTTAGCTATTTCAGCCTTCTTCAGATCATTGGCATGGACCCTCCTTGCTCGTCCTGCCACTTGATCCCATATTACATATGATACTGGACCCGTCTGCTCTACTATCCGGTAGTACGGTTCCCATCTTTGGTCCAGCTTTCCTTCTCTCTGGTGGATTTTATAGTAGACAGGGTCTCCAACCTTCAATTCTACTACCTTTCTTTCAGCATTCACATTCTCATTTCTTTTCTTCTGGGCCCTCTTTATTCTTCTTCTGGCCTGTACAAATATTTTATGTTGTTGTTCCAGAAACAGCTGATGATGATCTTCTCCCATGTACTTTCTTCGGGGCTTCAATAGGTTATCCACAGGCAGGACCACGTCTCTGCCAAACAACATGAAGTAAGGAGAAAATCTGGAGGTTTCGTTTATCGTAAACCTCACGGCCGCCAGAGCCTGCGTCAAATACAAGTCCCAATTTCCAGTGTTCTCTCTGACCAGCTTGGCCAATACATCTCCCAAGGTTCTATGAAACCTTTCCACTTTAGCATTTCCTTGGGGGTGATATGGAGATGATTTTACGTGCTCTATATTCAAACCTGTCAGCACTTCTCTCATAATGCTGTTTATATTCTCCGTGCCATTATCTGTTACCAATTGCACAGGGGCGCCATACCTAGGGAAGATTTCACTTATTATCAAACCGGCCAGTTCTAGCCTTCTGTCTGGTACAAAATGCCTCAGGCCAATTTGTTAGCCAATCGACAAAACTTACTATGTAGTTGTTTCCTTGTGCAGTTTCCTCATATGGTCCTGATACATCCATACTCACTTTCTCGAAGGGGAAGTTCGGCACGTCCGTCTCCTCCAATGGTGCCATTTCCTGCCTTCTGCTCTGCGACTGGCACACTACACAGCTCCGAACATAGTTAGTGACCTCTCCGTACAGTTTGGGCCAATAGTACTTCCTTCCTATTAGATCACATGTCCTATCAATTCCCATGTGACCCAACCTCTCGTGGCACTGTTCCAATATCTCTGGTCTTAAACTTTTGGGCACATACAACTTGGGCTTGACTTCCTCATCCCTGCCTGAGAGATAATACAGCCTTTCCTCTATTATGGCATACTTGGTGGTCTCTCCTGCCTTCACCTTTTCTCTCAGGGCAGCTATTTCACTGTCTGCCTGCTCCTTCTCAATTCCTTCTGTCCAGTAGGGATCGGTTATTATCTGTGCGTCCCCTTCTTCGTCCGATTCTAACATAGGGCGATCTTTTAGCTTATTAGAGTTAATTACTCCTATTCTATAGGCTTTATCATCTACTCCCTGCTCTACTTTTACAGATCTTTCTTCCAGTTGTTTCGGTATTCTTGAGAGTAAATCTGCGCACGTGTTTTCCTTCCCTGCCAAATACTCTATCTTACAGTGGTAGCCACTTAACTTAAGTGCCCACTGTTGAATTTTCTTATTATTTGTCCATTCTGCCTGCAATAGGTACTGCAGAGGCTTGTGGTCTGTTTTTATAGTAAAGACCGTACCATTCAAGTAATAGTCCAGTTTTTGGAGAGCATACATGATGGCATATGCCTCTCTTTCCACCACTGGCCATCTCTGTTGTGTCTCTGAGAACTTATGAGAAAGGAAGTATATCGGTACTTCCTCTGGTATGCCTGGCACTGGTTCTTCTTTATCGGGACATTGCTGGGTAAGAACTGCTCCTACATACTGCTCACTGGCATCATGGGCTTGCTGAGGTCTGGGTACGTCAGCAGTGGGACGGCTGTCAACTGTTCCTTTAACGTATCAAATACCCGTTGACAGTCCTCTGTCCACTTGAACCTAGCGTA